ATGATTTCCTACTTAGCTTACTATCTATTCCCTATGCAAAACTATTTTGAGTTCATCACATTATACCTCAAGTTATATATGGTCCCTCCTATTATTAAATTACTTTTATCTTAGAAAACTTTTCAACTTTTCAACTTCCATATCTGACTTATCCCATAATATTTCAAATAGGATATTAATTCAATATTTTCAATGAGTTGTGAGAGAGCGTTTCTAGAGAAATCTAGAAGTCGGTAGAGATTTGTAGAATTTTCTAAGATGTTGTAGAATTTTTTAGAGAATTGTAGAAGTCTTTAGAATTTTATAGAAAAGTCTAGAGCATTTTATAGTCCTCTAGATTCTTCCATTACATTAATTATGAAAGCGTGTAGAGACTTTTTAGAAGTATCTAAAAATGTAGAGATGTATGGAGTATATTAGAGAAGCTTAGGGCCCGTTTGATGAGTTTTGAAGATATGATAAGATATGAGTTATGAAATCAGAGAGAAATGATATGAGTTTTGAAATCTGAAACGAATTTATTTGGAGAGATTTAAAATTATGATTTAATTAGTGATAATTGAGGGTGACAGGGAAACGGAGGTGGTTGGGGGTGACAATGGTAACTGGTGACGGAGAATGATCAATGGTTGAGAAAGATATCAAACCCCCATATTGATATCTCCCAAATTCGGGAGATATCGAAACCCTCCATTTGAAGGATTTAAGATATCTGGAGATATCGAATTCATTATCTTTTTTGGCTTCACCAAACGCCAAAAAAGAATTCTAATATCTGGAGATATCAAAACCCATATCTTATTTGCTCACCAAACACACCCTAGTCTTAGTGATGAGTATAAATAGGGGTGTGGATGAAATATACAGAGTAAAATTTTTCATTGTTTAAAATTTTAAAATACTCCCTATCATTAGAGGTGTTGACCATAGTTTAACAACCTTAAAAGGCATATTTTCTTGAGGAGAAGTGAGAAGGAAGTAAGGGGAGAAAGAGAAATAAGTAATTAAGTATGAAATATATGGAGTAAAATTTTTCATTGTTTAGTCAGGAAAAATTAAGAAGGAAATGAGAAGAAATGAAAATAATGTAGGAAGAGAGTAAAAAAATCCTCCATTTGTGAAGTGAAAGGAGTTGTTTATTTTATTTTTAGGGAAAATTTACTTGTATAGTTGTTAAAACATAGTGACTTTCTCAATCTAGTATCATATCTTTTGATTTTCTAATTAGCACTATTACTCAATGTCCTCTAAACATTCTTCAAGTAAATGTTCATCGCTACTAGACATTGTTCAAAG